CATGTCCTTCTGGTTAATGGAACATTCATTTGGCCTGTCACGTTTTCCTGCAGCAGGATTGTTTATTACAGAATGAATCTGTTTGTCATGGAAACACCAGTGAACCATCTCTGACACATACTGTATTACACTCATATATTGTGTGATTTCCTGTACAAGGTGTTTTTTTCTCTGGCCTTATGACATTTTGTTTGCTTCACAGTATACACATTATTTTCTAACTTTCTCCATCTGTGCAATGTTCTCTCTTTCTGTGTGTATGTGTGTCCAGACATCGGTAGCTGGCTGCAGCTATTTGGCTTCCAGCTTCATAATGTTGTCCCAGGTTTTCCAAAGCCTGATGTGGGCAGAATGGAACAAACATACGAACTGATGAAGACTCAGACCAAGACACAGAACTGGGACACAAGCAAGGTGCGCTTTCAATCAGGTTTTTTGTCGTATTTTTTATCCCTTTTGCTTATCTTTCTTTAGATACATATACTATGATGATGATTTATTTCAAACTTTGTGGTGTATAAATACTGGAAATTTAGCAACTGGCTAACACCTATCATAGAAAGCCACAGTTCACAGAGCTTATCAATTGGAATAACCAACGGAGCCGTTTCAGCTCGCTGGCTAAATTTGGTTTCAGTTGAGCTTCCTTAAGAGAGGCTGCGAGCAGTGAGGCATACATTTTAAAATACATTTGACATGAAATTAAAGTGTTGATGGAAAAAAGGAGTTTTAAAAAAGGACAATTAAAATGAGAATGTTTGTAATGAAATAAAAATTAACTCCAGTAAAACTTTGTTGATCAGTAGAAAGAAAATTAACACTTTTGTTAATTAATACATTGTCATCAAAGTCACTTTGGTAAAAAATTACCTGGTTCCAGCTTCCTAAATGTGAGTATTTGCTGCTTTTATGCATTTCATATCATCATAAATTAAACATCTAAGATTGGACTGAGTCAATTAAACAATTAGAAAATTGTCCGATTAATCAATTATGACAATGTCGTTAGTTGCAAAACAATAACCTCAATAATTTGATGTTGTTAGTTTTTAATTAATTTGCTTGGGTTTATTTATTTGGATATACTTTTGCAACATTTGATTTAAAAAAAAAAAGAAAAAAAAAGCCTAATGTTGTAATTTAAAAAAGAATATTCCCAGCTGTAATAGATGTTATTTACCACAGTCATATCTGGACCATTAACAATGTCTCCAAGTGTCCTAGTAACCTATGACAGAGTGACAGTGAGCCGGCATGGGCAATACCAGGACCCTGAAACTGAAGTAGCTAAATTGAATATGGCCATCATTAATGTCATTATTCACTTCTGTGCTTTTTCCTATTGTGACATGTCAAAATGTCCAGAGCCATCATTAATGTTATTAGATACATCTGTGTTGTTGACTGTCACAAGTCAAAATGTCTGCTGTGAAAGAATCTCACAGTTGAGCCTCTGACTTTACATTACATATATTTCTATATAAAATGTTATATATTTTTTTTGTGCATTCAAACAATATTTTTTGGTAACCAGTTGTACTCTTTGTCCCAGGTGGTTCTGGGAATCCAGTGTGAGCTCCGGAGACAGCTGAGGAGTTTCATCTCTCTGGAAAGGTTACCTCTAGTGTCACAGCCTGTAGGCTCAACTTGCCACAGACCGTCACGCCCTCCTCCCTTCGGCTCTCGACCCTCTCTTCTCGGCCCCAGCATCCGGTTTGCTGTCTCCCATGGCCGGGTCAGCGCTGAAGTCATTGGTGTGGCTAGCGAGGACAGCCGCCGCGTGGCAGCCATTTTAAACGGTGCCATCCACCTGAGCGGGCTGAGCTTCACCGTGCATGGCTGTGACACCCATCATTTCCTCCAGTCCCGGCCCATCGAAGAAGACCTCGCTCTGGGCTTAGGAGTTGGGGGGCGCATCCTAGAGAGCGGGGTGAACGTGAGTGTGTCTCAGATGAGCGCCATGGTGAACGGCAGGACTCGACGATTCGCTGATATCACTCTTCAGCAGGGGGCACTGTGCTTGTGCGTGCGCTATGGAGGGAACGAGGAGGAGGAAAGGGCACGGGTGAGGGAGGAGGCGAGGAAGAGAGCAGTGGAGGGGGCGTGGGAGAAGGAGAGGAAGAGGGTGGATTCAGGGGACGCAGGGAGCAGGGCATGGAGCGAGGCAGAGAAGCAGCAGCTGCTGTCAGGAGGACTTGTTCAGGGTTACGACGGCTACTACTCCCTGCCTATAGAGCAGCAGCCGGAGCTGTCCGACTGCCCCTCCAACATCCACTTTATGACACTGAGCGAGGTGGGGGGCAGGTAACAGAGACACGTGAGCAGCCCCCCACCCCACCAAAGACTGCCTGTTTCTACTCTACTCTGATTTGTTCTACTGGTTCTATACTGTATCAAAAAAAAGAAGACGACGACAGAAGAAGAAGAACAAGAAGAGAGATTGGGGGAAAAAAATATTTCCAAATGCCTTTAATTGTGACAAAATGATGGTATTTTATTATTATCGTCCAGTTTCTCCAATTTCTAACAGTGGCACAAGCAGTGTGGTTTGGCTGTGGCTTTGCTTTTTGTATCCTGACTGGCCTGGGACTGACCGACCGACCGACTGACTGACAGACTGACTCACTGACTGACCGATGGACTGACTGTCTGTCATTTGCTGTTTCAACACTGTTCATCATTTTGGACTCTGTTCAAATTCATTGAACTGTAGAGATGAAGACTTTAGGATTGCCAGTGAATAATCCTCTTCATGACTCAAATCAAGAGCTCTCCGGTTGCCATTTGAGTTCCTACATGGTTTACCTCGGATATACTATCGTTTACATATTGTGTAAGAGAGGCCTTGTCGACTCTGACACTCCCCTTTAGAGAAGGAAGCCTCTCCTGGTTTCCCGCCTCTGGTGTGCTCCAACAGTAGTTTGTATGAGTGTGTATACTAAAATCAAGAATGTACATAGCCAGTGCTTTCACACTGAAAAAAGTGCTCAACTGGAAATTCTGTTGTTCATAAGTAAGTGTCAGTATTGTTAATCAATAGAAAAACAGTTACATTTTTGCAAAGAATTATACATGGCTATAGTAAATATTCTCGCTGAAAAATCTGACTTTATTGGGTTACAATGCTGATTAAAGTTATTATGTGTGAATTACCAGATTGTTCCATGGGATTTTGTAGGGATTGTTGCTTATTATTTCTCTCTGCGTCTGCTCTCTCTCTCTCTCTCTCTTGCGTCCTCTCTGTCTCTGTGCCTTCCCTCCACACATTTGTTGTGCGCTCTTTGTTCTTGTTTCTCCGAGTTTGTAACTTTCAAATCTGTGCTGTCATTATCACCCATCATTATGGCTCAAACTGAGATATGCATGAGAAACCTGCGTCTGTCAGAAGAGAAGAAGAAGAAGAAGAAGAAGGAGGAGGAGGAGGGAGGAGGAGGAGGAAGGAGAAGAGAGAGAAAAAAAAGCACAGAGGAAGGGAAAAAGAAATGTGACAGCTGAGGCTCAGTGAGTGGGTGGTGAGTGCAGAAGGGGCAGGACCTGGAGTTGGCTGTGCTGTTCTCTACAGCTTGTCTCCTCTCATTAGGAAATGCCAATCAGACTACATGTGAACCACTTCCAAGCCTCTCTCCCCCAAAAAAAGTTTAAAAAGAAAGTAAAGAAGTTTGTTTGTTTTTCTTTCTTTCCTTTTTTTTT